AATGAACTAGAACAAATAATTCTAAAATTTATATGGAACCACAAAAAATCCCAAATAGCCAAAGCAATCATGAGAAAGAATAAAAAGCTGGGGGAATTATGCTCCCCAACTTCAAACTCAACTACAAAGCCACAGTAGTCAAAACAATTTGATATTGGCACAAGAACAGACCCACAGATCAATGGAACTGAACAGACAGCCCAAATATAAATCCACACATACACAGTCAATTAATATTTGATAAAGGAGCCATGAATATACAATGGGGGAAAGCCTCTTCAACAACTAGTGCTGGGAAAACTGGACAACTGCATGTAAGAGAATGAAACTGGATAATTGTCTAACACCATACATAAAAGTAAACTCGAAATGGATCAAAGACCTGAATGTAAGCCATGAAACCATAAAACTCTTAGGAGAAAACATAGGCAAAAATCTCTTGAAGGTAAACATGAGCAACTTTTTTATGAACACATCTCCTTGGGCAAGGAATACAAAATCAAAAATGAACAAGTGGGACTACATCAAACTAAAAGGCTTCTTCTATATAGCAAAGGACACCATCAGCAGAAAAGGCAACCTACAGCATGGGAGAATACACTTTTATATTCATATATAAATATATTCATATGTAAATATATATTCATATATAATATACATATATTCATATATATATATATAAAAAATTTATCTAATAATGGGTTAACACCCAAAATATAAAAAGAACTCACATGCCTTAACACTCAAAAAACAAATAACCTGATTAAAAAATCAGCAGGTGATCTGAACAAACACTTCTCCAAAGAAGAAATATGGATGGCCAGCAAGCACATGTGAAGATGCTGCAGATCGTTGATCATCAGGGAAACGAAAATTAAAACTGCAATGAGATATCACCTCACACCAGTTAGGATGGCCAATATACAAAAGACAAGAAACACATAATGGTGGTGATGATGCAGAGAAAGGGGAACCCTCCTACACTGTTGATGGGAATGTAAAGTGGTACAACCACTGTGAAAGCAGTATGGAGGTTTCTCAAAAAACTAAAAATAGAAATACCATTTGACCCAGTGTGGGTAAAATTGAAACATTTCCAGAATATCTCGCCTGGCTTTAGTGCATTTGGATCTTTCTTCAGAGGTGGAGAAGTTCATCTCCATACCAATGGATGATTACCTGGGTAACAGAGGGCTTATCTGTACCTGAGAGGTGAGGGGGAGGACCGGTGGTTGCTGCTAGAGCAGAGAAGAAAGACGGACTGGGACTGCAGTTTGTGAGAAGTAAACGGGTTTTAAACTTTATTTCTCCCTTTGACTGATTTTGATTTTTAGGGGTATTTAGCCCCGGGATTTCCTTTCCCCGGACTGACAATTGGCATACTATTGGCAGGATTCCTGTGAACCCAAAATCTGTCATAATGGGTGCTACCTTTGGGAGGGCCGCCCCTAGAAATGATGGGGAGAAGTGGCACTCGCGCCGAGGGACATGTGTTTACACTCATGTGGTCATGGAGGCACCACCACCGCTGCTGGCCATGCCGACCCCGGCCTGTGGCCCGAGCCTAAGGCTACTACTTCTGCCACTGCTGCTGCTTCTGCTGCCGGCTGGAGCCTGGCCACAACCATGGAAAGGAGCAGAGGTCAGGGTCACCTTGGTAGAGAAGCAACTGGCTGCTGTGTACCACAGCTTGCTGACTACAGAGCCCATCACTGGAACAGCTCCAACAAAGGTGATAACTACCTATCCCATTGTGAGGTGGGTGCGAGACTGGACCCAAAGGCCACGGAGTGGCATGGCACAGAAACCTACCATATATCATGTGACTGGCCACTTGCCTTTGGCATCCCCAGGGAATGATGAAGCAGACACATTGGCCCAGATGCGCTAGCTGGAAAGAAAGCCTGCCTCTGATGTAGCCCTATGGCTACATCAGTGTTTGTTGCACGTGGGGCAAAAGACAATGTGGGCCTGTCGGTGGGGCTTGTCTTTCACCTTTGAAGAAGTCAGCCGAGCCCGGAAGGAGTGCCCTGCACGTTGTGCAGATCAGCAAACCACCAAGAGGGGCCTAGAGCATCTCTCTGCAGCCTATGATCAGTCGCCGGTTACTGAGAGCAATCGAGGCACCCACTTTATTGGACATGTGTTGCAAGTATGAGTGCAGCAATTAGGAGTAAAATGGACGTGGCCCTGGACATTTCAACACATGGATCAGCAATGGCTGACTCTTCTGGCACCTTGGGAAAAAGGCCTGGAAGCTGGCCTTCTGTGCAAATTGGCCCCCGACAATCACGGTTACTTGCTTCTACAGTCTTTGTGTCCTGGATGCGCCCCCTGGCTGCAGCTGCCACATGATGGCTGGAATGGACGAGTTTTGGACTTAATCTGCATGGGACTTTGAACCTAGCTGAATCCTCTGGCTTGAGAATCATGATTGTGTTGCTGTTAAGAAAATAATGTTTAAAGAGAGGCTTGACTTTGTCTAATGTCTGGTAAAAGTTTTGTGAGCCATCTAGCATGATTGTTAGGAATGAGTAAACAAATGTAGAAATGTATTTTTGTGCTTAGTGAGAGATTGTGCTCTAAAGTAACCTAGTTAAATTCTCTGGCTTGAGAATGATTATGTTGCTGTTGTCAAGAAAATAATGTTTCAAGAGAGGCTTGACTTTGTCTAATGTTCAGTAAAAGTTTTGTGAGCAATCTAGCATGACTATTAGGAATGAGTAAACAAGTGTAGAAACGTATTTTGTGCTTAGTGAGAGATTGTGCTGTAAAGTACATTTACTTGATCTGCATTGGCTGAATCCTCTGGCTTGAGGATTATCAAGATTTTATTGCTGTTGCTATTGCATGTTACTAGATTGGTCAGAAGAGGGGGATCAAGCAAATTGCAAGGCGAGATTTCTGGAAGGGTGGATTGTGGGTAAAATTGAAACATTTTCAGAATATCTCACCTGGCTTTAGTGCATTTGGATCTTTCCTCTGAAGTGGAGAAGTTCATCCCCATATCAATGGATGATTACCTGGGTAACAGAGGGCTTATCTGTACTTGAGAGGTGAGGGGGAGGACTGGTGGTTGCTGCTAGAGCAGAGAAGAAAGACAGACTGGGACTGCAGTTTGTGAGAAATAAATGGGTTTTAAACTTTATTTCTCCCTTTGACTGATTTTAGTTTTTAGGGGTATTTTGCCCTGGGATTTCCTTTCCCCAGACTGACACCCAGTAATTCCACTCCTAGGAATTTACCCAAAGAAAACAAGATCCATGATTTGAAAAATATATGCACCCTTATGTTTATCACTGTACTATTTACAATAGCCAAAATATGAAGCAATGTAAGTGTCCATCAATAGACAAATGGATAAAGAAAATGTGGTACATATATACAATGGAATATTATTCATCCATTAGAAATCCTCGCATTTGCAACAACATGGATGGAGCTAGAGGTATTATGCTCAGTGAAATAAGCCAGGCGGAGAAAGACAAATATCAAATCATTTCACTCATTTGTGGAGTATAAAAACAAAAGCAAAACTGAAGGAACAAAATAGCAGTGGATTTGCAGACACTGAGAAGGGAACAGTGGTTACCGAAGGGGAGGGGTTGGGAGGTGCATAGGGAGGGAGAAGGGAATTAAGGGGCCCTGTAATTCACAATTACAGTATAGGTAGGTCACAGGGAAGGCAGTTCAGCATGGAGAAGACAATTAATGACTCTATAACATATTAATATGCTTATAGACAGTGACCACAACAGAGCGGGTAAGGACTTGATAATATGGGCGAATCTTGAAACCACTGTGTTGTTTATGTGAAACCATCATAATATTGTATCACAATGATACTTTATTAAAAAAAAAAAGACCCTTTCTGCTGGCAAAAGAACAAAACCTCCAAGCTTTATACCACTTTGCAGAATGGTAACTTTGCTTTATGCTCTTACACACTCAAATACTTTATCGTGATTCAAAACACACTAAGCATATGCTCATGATGTTAGTCTTAAAAATATATAGCTAAATTCCTTTACAAAAATGCTATCATAAGAGGGTAACCATCTATATATTATGTTACGTTAAGCTATTAGACTTTCTTTAGAATGTGATTGTTACTCTAGGTATATGATTTAATGATTCCAGATGTCTAAATCTAGGAACTAATGAGTTACACTAAATGAACAACAAGTTACTGAAATCATTTCTATTTGTGAAAGCAATTTAACTTTTCAGTGGTCTTAGGGTCTTGAAGCTTGAGACGTGTAAGTGCATATTAAAACAATACTTTTCAAAGACACTTTTTTTAAAGCCCAAAATAACTATATTATATGGTTTACATAAAACTTGCCTGTTAATCACTGCCTACTAATGAGTTATAATACTCACTACTCCATCATGATACCCAAACACCTTAATTATTAATTTCATTAACACTAATTAACACTGTCTCTAACCTTCCTCATTGGTCTATACCATATACTTGTGTATCTATAAGTACAACCAGTTTTTTCTTCTCAATCTCTCTCCTATGATAACTCCTAATGTTTTTGTTAGGCCCTCTACTTCTGGAAGATTAATGAGAGTTGTCCGTAAAAGTAAGAGTCTTCTCTAAAGTTTAACCATACAGAAAATACGAAAATACCACCCAGGGAAAGGAACAGAATTTTTATGTAATGTTATTTTAACTATGTGACAATTGTGTAAAACATTAGTAAAAAATTTCACTAGATATTTAGTTGGAATCTCACAATACTTTGCAAAGAAATTCTCAATCTAACATCTAAGAGTTATGTGGTTTACAGAAGAAACAAAAAGCAGGATGAATTAACATAACTGAAGCTTTTTTCATAGAAAGGTAAAGACTCTCAGCTATCAAGAATCCTTAGAAAGAGCCACAATGAAACTTGTGGCTAAACCAACATAGGCAACATTCCATTTTCATACATCTCAATAAGCCCACAGAAGAAAAAGGTAAAGACTATAATAGTATTTTTGAACATTACCAGTTTTAATCGTTCTTTTCTCCTTTTGCCAAAGGAGGCACTTGACCCAGGTTCTGATTCCTTTTTTATATCCTCATCCTCATCTTCATCTTCATCATCCTCAAAACACCAATCTGGCAATAGAGGTGGGGGTGGTGCTTCCTCTATATCACCATAGCGACGAAAAAGTTCTTTCAAGTAGTCACCCTTATAAATTCCTGGTGGTCTGGCTTGAGCAAAAGTAGCAACTGCTGCTTCAATACTATGGAAAACAACACACCATGCAGTTTCCTCACTACTCACCGATTCTGCAGAGTTATCAAAAGTCACTTAGCATATTTAAGGCACCACATGAAGTATAACAGAGGTTTACGAAATGGACAAATCACAGTCCCCACTCTCAAGGCATTCGATCTATTAAGGGACAAATTCATTCTGAAACAGTTTTAACATAAGGTACATTGATAACTCCTAAACTTTAAAGGTAAATGCAATGAGTGCATAGAAGAGACCTGGGTAGAGTCTGAGAATTTAAATGAAGCCTTGAAGATTGAGGTCTGACTCTAGGGGAAAACATCAGACAAAAAATTTGTGAGTTGCAATATGAATAAAAGTAAAAGCATGCTCATTTTTCAGGAACTTTCAGTAGACCCAGGCAATAAGAACATAGGTCGTCTGGGAGAGGCTAAGCGCAGGCAGAGTCTGACACAGGGGTCTACAGCTGGGCAGAGCAGTGGAAGGCCCAGCAATGCACAGCCAGATGTGCCTGCAGCAGAGAACCACTGAGGATGTGCCCACAGGGAAATACACCATCGGATGTGTACTTCAGCTGATTGATTTTCTGAGAAGGACCTACTGTGTGACAGGCTTTAAAACAAAAATAATGACCCTCAATCAGTAAATAGGGAATTCAGTTAGTAATATCCCACTCTCTCAGGAATACTAGGTAACTAGGGTTCTAATCTCTCAGGATCTAAAAAGGTACTTCACAATTAACAGGTGCTCAATAAAGACATGCTGATTGGTTTAAACAGAATATATCTATTTAAATATAGTATCTCCAAAAATATCTCCTCCATACAACATCATCAGTTTTTACCAGTACTCAAAAGCTATAAAAAAGGTACCATTAAAAATGAAAAGACCACCATCAATGTAAGTTCTAAAGGTGAATATAAAAACAATATATTGGTAGAACTTGTCTGACAATTCTATAAGATATAGAAAAACTCTATAGAAGAAAACACATGGATAGAAATTAGGGAAGAAAATACATAGAGAAGAAATAGTGCATGGAATCCATAAGCACTCAAATGAAGAGCTATTTAGTTCAAAATGCCAGGCAATGAATAGCACTCTAAAGATTAACCAATTCCAAAATCAAATTACTCCAAATTACATTAATTATGACTTTGCCAAATATTTGGTGATATAAAATGCTAAAGGCCAAAAAGAAATCAATAAAGTTTTTATTAATTACTAAATAGTCTTATTCCATTATAGCAAGAAACAAATACCTCCAATCCATTTTCTCCACCAAAAAGGCACATATGAGGAAACCAGTGCGGTTGAAACCATGGGTACAATGAACACCTAAAAAATAAAGTAGCTTTGGATTAAAATTAATACATCACTTCAGAGACCACATTTTACCTCAAAATTCTAGGCCTGCAATCAAAATATTTCAGTCATTTTATAAAATAACTACATTGTTAACTTAGCCCCATCTTATAGCTATTAGTAACTTTACAGATTAAATTGCTTAAAATCTAATTTATAGCCCCAGCTAGATGTTTAAATGTAACATATATTGATTTATTGGTTATAAATTGTCTCTAAGGTCTAAAGATTTCTTTTAAAACTAAGATTCCAAGCATTTTAAATTTCAACACACAACCCTAAAGGACACACACGCACATGGGACACTTGACTGAATACAGATACACAGTATAATAAAAATAAAACTACTTTGAAGTTCTCTAGAAACCAACTGACTGTATCTTTACATTAGCTACAATCTTTCAAAATAAGCTTTTAGAAGAAAAACCTGCTGAGAAAATGAAATGTAGTTTTCTTAAATCTTTTTTCAGGATCTTTTAAGATCCTGAAAGAATGGAAGCATTCTTCACAATAGCCAAGATATGCAAGTAACCTAAGTCCCATCAACTGGTGAATGGGTAATAAAGATGTGGTGCATGCAAAGATGGAATATTATTGAGCCATGAGAAAGACATCCTGCCATTTGAGACAAAACAGATGACCTTTTAAGATCAGTGTGGTCCTACTCTACATTCTGGAAAGCTGCAAATGAGCTTCATAAATTCCAAAAATTACTGCATTTTAAATCATCTTCATTACTTTGAAACAGTAATAAAATACCTTGGTAGACATCATCAACATGACAACACCACTGCCAGGCTCATTCTCCTTCAAACTTCAAAATGAAGCTTTTCTTGTTACCTCTGCTTAATGGAAAGATATCCTTTCCATTTAAGTTTTATCTTTCGCATGTTACCTGTTAAAAACCTACTCTTCTCTATATTTAAAGCACCTTAATAGAGTGTAACCAAAATCAAATATAGAAATAAACTAGAAATTAAAATGACAAAACTTCCAGAAGAAAATACAGGAGAAAATCTTTGCAACCTCCATGTAGGAAAAGATTCCTTAGATAAACAGAAAATGTAGGGAAGAAGCTACCTGACATTGGTCTTAGCAACAATTTTTTGGTTATGACACCTAAAGCACAAACAAAGCAAAAATCAGCAAATAGGACTACATCAAACTTAAAAACTTCTGCCCAGCAAAAGAAACAATTAACAAATTGAAAAGGCAACCAACAGAATGGGAGAAAAAGTCTGCAAACCATATATCAGATATGGGGTCAATATCCAAAATATATGAAGAACTCATCCAACTCAACAATAAAAATACAAACAATCTGATTTTAAAATGGCAGAGGATCTGAACAGACATTTTTCCAAAGAAGACATCCAAATGACCAACAGATATATAAAAAGAGGCTCAACATCACTAATCATTGGGGAAATGCAAATCAAAACCACAGTGAGATATCACTTCACACCTCTTAAAATGGCTACCGTCAAGATGAGTTAAATGTTGGTGAAATGTGGAGACAAAGAAACCCTTCTGCACTGTTGATAGGAATGTACATTGGTTCAACCACTGTGGAAAACATTATGGAGGTTCCCTAAAAAGTTAAAAATAGCAATCCTACTTCTGAGTATATACCCAATGGAAATAAAAATAGGATACTGAAGAGATATATGCATTCCTACGTCCATGGAAGCATTCTTCACAATAGCCAAGATATGCAAGTAACCTAAGTCCCATCAACTGGTGAATGGGTAATAAAGATGTGGTGCATGCAAAGATGGAATATTATTGAGCCATGAGAAAGACATCCTGCCATTTGAGACAAAACAGATGACCTTGACCACATTATGCTAAATGAGATAAGTCAGACAGCAAAAGACAAGTACTATATGATACTACTAATATGTGGAATCTAAAAAAGCCAAACTCATAAAAACAGAGAATATGGTGATTATTACTAATACACACTAATAGAGATCTTATATATAATATAGTGATATAGTCAAGAATACTGTATTGTCATCAGCAAACTTACTAAGAAACTAAAACTTAATTCTTCCAACCACTAAAAAGAAAGGATAATTATATAAGGTGACAGAAGTGCTCATTATCACTACAATGGCAATCCTATTACAATGCATAAATGTATCAGATTAACAAGTTGTACACCTTAAATTTACACAATGTTATATGTCAAATATATTTCAATAAAAAGAAATTCTAGAAAATACAAACTAATCTATAGTGACACAAAGTAAAAAAATGATTGCCTAATCTACAACAAAGAGTTAAAGGATAGACACAAAGGAACACAAGATGTAAATGCTCTGACCCTTGATTGTGATTTCATGGGTGTCTACATCTGTCAAAACTAATCAAATTGTACAATTTAAATGAATACAGTTTAGTATATACAAATAATATTTCAATAATTAAAGTGACATACTGGTACAAGTCAGCAATTGGCATTAATTACATATTCCAAATGTTAATGTTCATCAACATGGCCCTGTTTCAGCAACTGACTTTATCAAAAATGTTACACATTTGATACATTTTAAAAAGCATACTAATAAAATATCATCACCATCTCATTTCTGTAATAGGATAAGATTTCTCTCCAAGAAAGACTTTTCTACTTCAAAAAGTTTTTTTTAATCAGTATCTTAGATTTATTGTCAATTGAGCCAAAACACCTATTTCTACCCTCATAGTAAATAAAATGATCATTAACATTTAGAATAAAAAGCTTAGTCAGTGAACTCTGCTCAATGAACAAGTTTACAAAGGAACTGCAGACAGCAGGAATGACTTGTGCGAATGTACACAAGTGTCACTTGTACCACACAGGACAAACTATAAATGTCAATAAGGAGTGTCGCATGTACCACACAAGATGAACTATTAATCAATCAAAATGGCTAGAGCATGGGGTATGGTAATAAAGTGCTGTCAATGCAGTTGCAGACAATGAGAGTCAAAATCCTGAAGAAATGTGTGCACATACTAAAGAGAATATAAGAGCAGTGGGGAGATTTTAAAGAATTTTAAGCATGGCAATAAAATGATCAGGTTTTAGAAAGCCCACTCCCAGAGCAGCTCAACAAAAGACAGACAGAGAGGGCACAACAGTGCAAGCCAGAACACCAGTAAGGAAGCACCCCAGTAGTTTATGTTTGAGATAAAGGTCTTTGTGACAAGGGTCACAGTGATGGGGACAACAAAGTGAGGCAGACTGAAGAGACATTTAAGGTAGACTGCTTTCTGAGAGGCAAAGGACTGTCAACGCTGAAACAAAAGATGTAAACGGATGGAGTAATGGGTAAATATGTGTAGGAAAAAAAAATCAGGGAGCATTTCTGATTTCTTGACCAAGGCAATGGTTACATGACTACAGACACGTGGAAACTCATCAATTTATACACTAAGATTGGTGTACTTTATTCTATGGACCTCAATAAAAAGTAAAAATAATTTTTAAAAGGTTAAAAAGGTTTTACTACTGTGCTAGTTGTTAATAGCACATGACAGAGTTCTTCTAATCCAGGTTCTGAGACTATCCTTTGCTGGAAACAAATAATTATTTATATATTTTAGATATAATTCCTTTGTCAGATATGTGTTTTGCAAATGTTTTCTTGAAGCCTGAAAAAAAACAAAGATGTAAAGGGAGTCTTTGGTTTCTGACTTGGGGCAGAATTGGGCAGTGGTACCATTTGCTAGGTTTGGAAGCACAGTTTATACCATTGTTACAGGCATGTCAACAAGTACAGTCCAACATGCTGAGTTTAAGATTCTTAAGGGATTTACAAGTATTTGGAAATAATGGTAAAGAGCTTTACTGGCTGGAGTTGTATCAGCATATAGTTAACATTTAGTCAACTATGGAAGGATAAGATTACCAAGAATGTGTGTATAAAAAGAAAATTAAGGATGAAATCTGATGAAAATCAATCTTTCAAGAATAAGGGTGGGGGGAACCATAAAAAAGACTAAGAATCAACTGTCATGGGATCAAGAAAATAAAGAGAACATGGGGTCATGTACAACAGGAAAAGAAGTTTCAGGACATGAATGTTCAATTATTTAACTGTCATATAATGACTAGAACTGAAAGTCACTATTTGATGAATTTAAGAGTGCAGAGGGAGGACTCCAGAGAACAATCACATGAATGGGAATAAACAGGTTCAAATATCAATCTTCCAAAAAGTCAGCTGGAAAAGGGAAATATAAAAGAGAAAGAAACATGTAGGTTTTTTTTCAGAGATGGGGGGGTGGTGTCATTTAATATGAGAGGCTTAGATATTGGTTTGCAGGGTAAGAAGGACCTTGTTAAATCAGAGGTTGACAATGACAGGGAAAATGGATATAACTGAAATGAAAGGAATCAACTTAAAAAAAAAGACACCCCTTAGAAATAAATGACTATACTCATGAAAATATAAATTTCATCATCTCCACGGCCTTGTAAGAAAAGAAGCCTCAGAAAGTCATACAACAACGTTAGCTATAAAAAGACATTTTATTCAACATGTTAACTTAATCCAACATGTAAATCTCCTACTTTATACTTCCAATTTAAGCAACACTGAATTTAGATGTTTCTCACCTAAATAAATACTGTTTTGCATTTAATTTTTACCCTAGCAAGATTAAATATTTTTATGAACAGGAACTTTAAGAATAATTGCCAGTTAAGTGACTAAGTCATGTGATAATATATAATTTAAGTACCATTGCTCTTGTAATAGTTATGCAAATACATAAAGCAAATAAATAACTGGGTATTTAAAATACGACATGAGTTACTAACTTACAAAAACCTTCATCAAAACAAGTCTCTACAGAAAAATTTGGAAGATTATGTATTTAATGTTTAAAAAGTATATTAAGTATACTACAAGTTTGGTCTGATATGTCTTCAATGTTTTTTAAAAAAAAACAGCATTTTTCAGTTTTCCTCGGTTCATTATGAGAATGGGTCCATCTAGTGGCAAGTAAAGCACAGTTCATATCTGAAGACTAGCTCACTACTATTTCAAGTCAACTTCTTACTCAAATTTGTCTTCATGTTTTAGGTAAGCTAATGTAATGAAACAAATTTATACAGCATTTCAAAAAATATTAACGCTAATCTATGCATTAAGGGAAAACTATAGTTCTTTCAAAATCAAATCAATGGAAGAAGCAATCTCCCCAAGGAGAGAAAGATGAGCTATAACCATAAAAATATACATATGGGTAAGTATAAATTAAGAAGAGGTGACTTAATGAAGGGTTAATCTCAATATATACAATTTCCTTCCTCACTAGTCAGATCATTTTTAGGTTCAAAAACCTTATCTGATCAGTCTAAATCAGTGGCTCTTGACTGGGGTGATTTTGTCCTCCCACCGCCAACCTCTTTAAGGGATGCCTGGCAATGTAAAGAGACATTTTTAATTGTCCAGAAGTTGCGGTGCCACTATCCTCTAGTGGGTAGAGGCCAAAGATGCTATTGAACACCCTACAATGCAGAGAAGAATCCCCCAAAATAAAGAAGTATTGAGTCCAGAATGTCAACAGTGCTGAGGTTAGATACCCTTTCAAATGTGCAAGAAAAATAAGAAAAGAAAAATGAAACTAATAATTATGAAAACCTTACTGTAAGTCATCTTAAATATTTTTATTTAATCTAAAGAAACCTTTCTTGCCAAAACAAACATGTGCTACTCATAAAAACACATATTTACAAACCTGTCGCACATACTTCTAACTAGAAACAAAGTAATTGGAGGCATCAGTTAAGCTATGCATTTATTTTACATGAAAGTCTAGCATTTACGAAGAAATCAGCTATTTCTCTTTCAACACAAAACAGATTAGTTTCTCCAGCCCACAAAATTCTATTCCCAAAACAATTACAAATGTACTATAGCTCCATAATCTCTTATTTGTAATTATAATTTCAAAAAAGTGCTAAAAAAAATAAGATTTTTGTTAAGTCATTTAGGGACAAGACCTGACCTGATGTGAAGTTATGCATAGTCTATTTTTCACACTTACTGTGAATGACTATTCATATGTTTAACAACAGAAATATTAATGTGTTTAATTATGGAATGGTCTCTAACACCCAGATTATCTTTAAATACTATTTTCCACTAAAGGAACCAATCTCCCTTAGAGAAATAACTGATTCCAGGTCTAGAAAATATCTTGTGCCAGGAAACAAGGAAATCATCAAGGACTGATGGGGTGATATCAAAAGGATACAGAAACCAACTTGGCTCCCACTGGGCAAGGCTGGAGCACCTTGGACATAAGAGATACTAACTGCAACTGATTTAAATACACCAACAATATAAAACTCATGACTTTTTCATCATACAAATGCTCAAAAAATAATCAGACTCACAGACTCCAAGAAGGGACAAGCAGAGGGGTGGGGGAGGATGGGTGGGGAGTGAGGGAGAAGGGGATTGAGGGATATTATGATTGGTTCACATGGTATGGGGGTGTCACAGCAAAGAAAGTAAAGTTCAGAGAAGACAGGTAGTGACTCTGTGGCATCTTACTATGCTGATGGACACTGACTTCAATGGAGTGGGGGGGACTTCATAATATGGGTGAATATAGTAACCACAATGTTTTTTATGTGAAACCCTCATAAGGGTGCATATCAGTGATAATATAATAAAAATAAACTGTAGTATGATCATATGATGAAATACTACACAGCAGCCTAAATGGACAATGGTTACATACATCACCATGGGTCACTCTCAGAAATATAATACTGAGTGAAAAAAGAAAGTTTCAGATTGTCATACAATATGATACGTAAAGTTATAAAAAATACCTATGTAGGGTTTAAAGTAGTTTCCCAACAATACAATCTGAAGAGGAGTAATTAGGGCTTTATCTTGAAAAATATAAAATTATATAAATACATTTATTATATAGTTCACAAAAGTCAGTCTATTACTTTAAACATTCCTTGGTGATTATTTTAAAAAGATTTAAAAAAAACTTCCATATCATGTAAAAAGAGAAAATGGAAGCCCAACTACAATACAAAATATTCAACAATAGTAGAGTCAAGCCGTACATACCTATAAGTTCAGGTGGGTTTCTTTCATTAAACCTCTCACACAGACGAATAAATGTCTCAGTATTCTCAGCTGTAGGACACTCACCATGTCTAGTAATAGGAAAACATTTTTTTGAAAAGAGATGTATCTTAGCCAAAGGTTTCAATACTAAACAATCTTAATACAGGACTTACCCTTTACACTGAAGTTTTATATATTTGATTCCTTCTTTTTCTATGTCATTTCTGTCATAGAATCTTGAAGTATTTGTCAGGTCCACCAACAAGCCCATTTTAACCTTACAAAAAAAAGAAAGAAAAAAGGGGTAGATCTACTAGTAACTTAATTTGTTGCAAAACAAGTTGACTAACTGGCAATACTCTATTCCAGTTCACCCATCTACACTGAGGGAGATTTTATGTTCATTCTGTCAATGAACTATTGACACTCAAAGTATCACTTAGGAAAGTCTTACTCAAGGCACTAGAACTCAGCAGGCACTAAATGAAATAAATTAATTAACCCCACACTGACAATGGAACAAGAACATAGGCAAAACAGACTCCACTTGTTGAATCACAAAATTCTACCTAAAACACAAACACTGAATGCAGTTTTTGTACATCTGCCAGTCCACCTCATTAGGCAAGAGGCTGGCACAGAAATAACATCTATCTGAAATACACCCCAACCCAAGCTCCAGGCACACATCAACCCAGCATTCCAAGCAGCCATCACTACATCATGTTAGGCAGTTAAATTCTAAAGCGAGTACTATTATAGAGTAAGAAGTGTGCAGTCGAAATTCCCTGTAAAGGAATAATCAAAAAGGAACAGTACACATGGCCAAACTTATGCATTTCACTGAAGACTTAATCCCATCTTTCAGCCAGTTTTTCTTCTTGCATTGGAACAAGAACCATTATTTCTCCTGTTCAGCACTAACTGAAGTAGTTGACTTATGCTCAGGGGCCATGTGGGTTTGAAAACTTAACTACCATCATATTGCACTTTTCAAATTACTCTTCTCTCTTCCCACAAAGCTTCTGCAGTGATCTTAACTCCATCAGAGGATACACATTGCCAAACACAAAGATTTAGACACACAGTACAGCTGGCTTCTGAGTTAGAATTAGAAAGCATATTGTTCCTCTCCAGGTGCAAAGTAAGAAGTGAAGGAAAAGAGCAGATGAGCAAGAAAATATGAAGTTTCTAAAAACAAAGGAATACTTTAGGCGAGAAAACTGAGAAACAGTACTGCGTGACTTAATTTCCCTGGGCCCCATATATATGTATATGTATAAATGTGTTTAAGTCCGTGTGACTTCTCTGGGTGGAGAATGCGTTTGTGTGTGACTGTATCTGTCTATGTACATATATTACATATATATTTATTTTTCATAACAGATAATCCCAATCCATGAAGTAAAGATAATGCTAGTATCCCCCTCACAGAGCTGTGAAATATAAATGAAATCCTTACTCTGTGGCAAAAACCATCTTACATGCACTAATTTTATTTACAGATAAAGAAATTGACACATGAAGAAACTGTATAACTTGCCCTCAAAGCTACAAGTGGCAAACTGGAATTCAAACCCAGGCTATCTGACTTCTAAGCCCAAGCTCCTTGCACACTGCCTAGGAAGTATTTAACATGTTAACTCTGACTTTCAATATAATTATTGATCATTAAAATGAAAATTACAAGTTTAGAAGTAAGCTAAAATAAAAGATATAAACAAAAAAAGACTGGAATCTACACCAAGAAAAGTAACAGGTTTTCAAAATCTAAGTGTCAACTTTTCTATCCCATCATTAGCAGGCCTGCACACAATTGGCACTACTAATTGTTGAAGTGCTAATACAACATACAATAGACTTCCCAGAGCATAAAATGGAGAAATAACAAAGATTGGTGTTATGGGATGAATTATGTCCCCTGAGAAGATATGTTCGTGCACTAACTCCCAATACCTGTGTATGTGACCTTATTTGGAACTTGGGTTATTGGGTCTTTGCAAATACACCTGACCCTTAAACAACACAGATTTGTACTGTGTCTCAACCTGTATGTGGATTTTTTTCAATAAATACTGTACAATACCATAAATGTATTTTCCTCATGGTTTCCTTAAAACATTTTTTTTCTAACTTACATTATAAGAATACAGTATATAATACATACACAAAACATGCTTTAATCAACTGTTTATGTTATGAGTAAGGCTTCTAACCAACAGTAGGCAATTAGTAATTAAGTTCTGGGGAAGTCAAATGTTATAGACAGATTTTTTATTGTGGAATCGGGAGTTGGTGGGGATCAACGCCCCAACCCCAGCATCATTCAGGGGTCAACACTAAAACCAAGTTAAAATGAGGTCATATTGGATTAGGGTATCCTCCTAAGAGGGCACCTTGGACACAGATACACAGAGTGACAACTGACAGAACCACAAGCCAAAGAATACCAAGGGCTGCTTGGCCATCACCAGAAGGTAAGGGAAAAAGAAGGAAAAATCCCCCTTCCAAGCCTCCAGAAGGACCCAACCTCACTAACGTCTTGATTTGGAACTTCTAGCCTCTAGAACTGTGAAAGAATAAATGTCTGTTGTCTTAAGCCATCCAGTTTGTGGTAATTAGTTATGGCAGTCCTCGGAAACTAATACAATAGGTATTGTGTCAGAATAAAGTAAAAAGAGCATGAAGTTTCAATTAGGAAAACAGTTTGGCACTTTCTTGTAAAACTAACCATGCACTCAGCAATTGTATTCTTGGGTATTTACCTCTGAAAAATGAAAACTTGTGTTCACGTGTACATGAATGTTCCTGGCAGCTTTATTTGTAATATCCCACAACTGGGAACAACTCAAATTAGTTAAATAGTTAATCATTCAAGGGGAGGACAGTTAAATAAAACCCAATATATAAATACAAGTGAATACTATTCAGCAATAAAAATGAACTTTTTGTTGATACATACAACTTGGATATACCTCAAGGCAATAGGCTTAGTTAACAAAGCCAATCCCAAAAGATCACATACAGTTTTATTCCATGTCTGTAACAGTCTGAAAATGACACAACTACAGAGATGGAGAACAGATTAAGTTGCCAGCATACAGGGAAGAGGGTCTGACTATAAAAGAGGAGCATGACGGAGTTCCTTTGTGGAGATGGAACAGTTCTGTAACCACCACCACATATCTATATGTTGAATCAAACTGCACAGAAATATACACACATACACACCAATGAATGCATAAAAAAACTGATAAAAAACTAAATAAGGTCTGAGAAACAGTCAACAGTACTATATCAGTGCCAATTTCCTGCTTCTGGTATTTTACTATAATTACATAAGATGCCACCACTGGGAAAAGCTGAGGAAGGATTCATAAAATTCTGTGTACAATTTTTGCAACTGCCTCTGAGTAAATTATTTCAAAGTAAAAACTGAATTTTTTTAAGCCACCTGAAGAACAAGGGAGAGATAAAATATATTATATCAATATAAAAAATTTTTTTATTTCTTACCTTCAAACTCTTTAGATAATTTGAAAGCATACTGGGATGGAACCGGTTTTCTTCAGCAACTTGACTGTCATATCTTGGTCCTAACATTGTTTTCAGAGGTAAGAATCTTCCTAAAAAACATTAACATGGGTAAAAATTTTCTTAAAGAAAATGTTCCAAGTTAAAACTCTATAAATTAGCAATTCTAAAATTCACTTTCTTAAAACGTTTTCAATGGAACTCTTCATGAAGTACTCTCAGTCTAAACTTTACTTTTTAAAGATGCTGACTTGGAGCTTTTAAGGACTACATAAATTCTAGACATTGACAATCAAATAATAGCAAAAGAAAAATTACCAGTGAATGGAACTTCCATAAAGACCTACACTCTAAACTTAATTTCTAATCATTAAAAGTTACTTCCTTAGGAGATTCAAGATGGCGGCATGAAAGGTGAAACAGAGAACTTCTCCCAAAACTACATATAATACGAAAATAAAGTTAATACAACTAATCCTAAATGAACAACAGGAAAGAAGCCTGCACGAAACTGCACAGACCTGGAAAACAGAGCAGACCTCAAGAAACAGGGTAACGTACCAAACCCTTCCCCCACCCCAGCTCACTGGTGGGAGGAAGAGAAACGGAGCAGGGAGGGGGTGGAAGCCTAGGACTGCTGAACACCCAGCCCTGGAGATCTGCTTTGGGAGCACAAACCTACATTGCATGGTGCTCTGTAGATTAGTGGGGTTGGAAAGCTAAGCAGATGGAATTCTTGGAGAGACTGAGATTCCAGCCTTTGTGGAGGACAGGGATCCAAATCCAGCTGCTCTGGGAAAAAGGAAAGGCAGGCGGTCTGAGAGGCTTCCTAGCATCAAGGGGCTGCTGAAGGGGCGGAGTTTGCACGGAGCTTGCTGTGCAGGAGAAGGGATAGGTAGACAAGGCTGTCTGGATGCACTCTGCCCAACACGTTGGGAACTTTCAGGAGCTTCAGGCACACCTTCCCCCTGGCTGGCAACTCAGCTCCAAGGCCCCCCACTGTGATACACAGCCTACTGCACCTCCCTCCTAGCCTGCCGGCACCAGCTTACAAACAGCAGTCCCTGCCCTAGTGTCAGGACAGCCAGAGGGAGGCCCCACCTACTGCAGCTACAGACACAAAGCACAGAGGCTTACACCTGTGTGCTCGGCCCATTGATTCTTACAGTGGAGACAGGCACTGGAGCCAGGAAGCAGGAAACTGCTGTTTCCTCCGTCCAGGCACCAGCGCCACTCCCCTGGGGCCCCTGACATCACTCCAGGGGCTAAGTAGCTGCAGAGACTAGAGGAGGCCACATAGAAATATGAAACATCAAAGGAACCTGGTTCAAACAAAAATCTCAGAAACACCAGAAAAAGGGCCAAGTGAAACTGAGATCACCAATCTTCCTGAAAGAGAGTTCAAAATAAAAATCATAAACATGCTCATGGAGGTACAGAAAAATATTCAAGAACTCAGGGACGAATTTAGGACTGAGACTCAATCATTAAAAAATTCCATATCTGAAATGAAACATACAATGGAGGGATTTAAAAGCAGATTAGATGTAGTAGAAGAGACGGTAAATGGAATAGAAATTAGAGAAGAGAAATACAAAGAAGCTGAGGCACAGAGAGAAAAAAGGATCTCTAAGAATGAAAGAATACTGAGAGAACTGTGTGACCATGCCAAACAGAACAATATTGGCATTATAGGGATATCAGAAGAAGAAGAGAAAGGAAAAGGGATAGAAAGTGTCTTGTTGGAGGTAATTGCTGAAAACTTCTGCAGTCTGGGGAAGGTGATGGTTTCTCAGGCCATGGAGGTACACAGATCTCCCAACACAAGGGACTCAAGGAAGACAACACCAAGACATATAATAATTAAAATGGCAAATATCAAGGACAAGAACAGACTTTTAAAAGCAGCTAGAGAGAGAAAAAAGATCACATACAAAGGAAAACCCATCAGGCTATCATCAGACTTCTCAACAGAAACCTTGCAGGCCATAAGGGAGTGGCATGATGTATTTAATGCAATGAAGCAGAAAGACATCGAACCAAGAATACTCTACACAGCACAATTATCATTTAAATTTGAAGCAGGGATTAAACAATTTTCATGTAAGCAAAAGCTGAGAGAATTTACCTCCCACAAACCACCTCCACAGTACATTTTGGAGAGACTGCTATAGATGGAAGTATTCCTAAAGTTAAATAGCTGTCACCAGGGGAAATAAAACCACAGCAAAGAAAGTAGAACAATTAATTACTGAGCAGATGCAAAATCAAATCAACTACCCCCAAAGTCAATCAAGGGATAGACAAAGAGTACAGAATATGATACCTAATATATAAAGAATGGAGGAGGAAGAAAAAAAAAAAAGAACTTTTAGGTTGTGTTTGTAATAGCATACTAAATGAGTTAAATTAGACTGTTAGATAGTAAGGGAAATACCCTTGAACCTTTGGTAACCACGAATCTAAAGCCTGCAATGGCAATAAGTACATACCTACTGATAATCACCATAAGTGTAAATGGTCTGAATGCACCAATCAAAAGACATAAAGTCTGAATGGATAAAAAAACAAGACCCAACTATATGCTGCCTACAAGAGACTCACTTCAAACCCAAAGACATACACAGACTGAAAGTAAAGGGATGGAAAAAGATATTTCATGCCACTAATAGGGAGAAAAAAGCAGGAGTTGCAGTACTTGTATCAGACAAAATAGACTTCAAAACAAAGAAAGTCATAAGAATCAAAGAAGGACAATACATAATGATAAATGGGTCAATCCAACAAGAGGATATAACCATTATAAATATCTGTGCACCCAACACAGGATCACCTACATATGTGAAACAAATACTAACAGAATAAAAAGGGGAAATAGAATGCAATGCGTTCGTTCTAGGAGACTTCAACACTCCACTCATTCCAAAGGACAGATCAACCAGACAGAATATAAGTAATGAGACAGAGGCACTGAACAACCCATTAGAACAGATGGACCTAACAGACATCAACAGAATTCTAGATCCAAAAGCAGCAAAATACACATTCGTCTCAAGTGCACATGGAATATTTTCAAGAATAGATCCTATACTAGGCCACAAAGAGAGCCTCAGTAAATTCAAAAAGACTGAAATTCTATCAACCAGCTTCTCAGATCACAAAGGTATGAAACTAGAAATAAATTATACAAAGAAAACAAAAAAGCCCACAAATACATGGAGGCTTAATAACATGCTCCTAAATAATCAATGGACAAATGACCAAATAAAAACAGAGATCAAGCAATATATGGAGACAAATGAAAACAATAACACAACACCACAACATCTGTGAGACACAGCAAAAGCCATGCTAAGAGGGAAGAACATTGCAATACAGGCCTACCTCGGGAAAGAACAACAATCCGAAATGAACAGTCTAAACTCACAATTAACGAAACTAGAAAAAGAACAAGTGACACCCAAAGTCAGTAGAAGGAGGGACATAATAAAGATTAGAACAGAAATAAATATAATCAAGAAGAATAAAGCAATAGAAAGAATCAATGAAAGCAGGAGCTGGTTCTTTGAGAAAATAAAATAAATAAACCCCTAGCCAGACCTATCAAGAAAAAAAGAGTCTACACGCATAAAAAGAATCAGAAATGAGAAAGGAAAAATCACTAGGGACACCACAGAAATACAAAGAATTATAAGAGAATACTATGAAAAATTATATGTTAACAAACTGGGTGACCTAGAAGAAATGGACAACTTTCTAGAAAAATACAACCTTCTAAGGTTGACCTGGGAAGAAACAAAAAATCTGAACAGACCAATTACCAGCAATGAAATTGAATTGGTAATCAAACAACTACCTAAGAACAAAACTCCTGGACCAGATGACTTCACCACTGAATTTTATCAGACATTTAGCAAAGACCTAAAACTTATCCTCCTTAAAGTTTTCCAAAAAGTAGAAGAGGAAGGAATACTCCCAAACTCATTCTATGAGGCCAGCATCACACTAATACCAAAACCAGGCAAAGACACCACAAAACAAGAAAACTACAGACCAATATCCCTGATGAACACAGATGCAAAAATACTCAACAAAATATCACCAAACTGAATTCAAAAACACATCAAAAAGATCATCCATCATGATCAAGTGGGATTTATTCTAGGGATGCAAGGATGGTACAACATTCAAAAATCCATCGATATCATCCACCACATCAACAAAAAGGAAAAAATCACATGATCATCTACATAGATGCTGAAAAACATTTGACAAAATTCAATATCCATTCATGATAAAAACTCTCAACAAAATGGGTACAGAGGGCAAGTACCTCAACATAATAAAGGGCATAGATGATAAACCCACAGCCAATATCATACTTAACAGCGAGAAGCTGAAAGCTTTTCCTTCAAGATGGGAACAAGACAAGGACGCCCACTCTCCCCGCTTTTATTCAACATAGTTCTGGAGGTCCTAGCCATGGCAATCAGGCAACATAAAGAAATAAAAGATATCCAGATTGGCAAGAAAGAAGTTAAACTGACAGTTTGCCACCATCCAAAAGACAAACAATAACAAATGTTGGCAAGGTTGTGGAGAAAGAGGAACCCTCCTACACTGCTGGTGGGAATGTAAATTAGTTCAACCACTGTGGAAAGCAGTACGGAGGTTCTTCAAAAAACTCAAAATAGAAATATCATTTGACCCAGGAATTCCACTCCTAGGAATTTACCCTAAGAATGCAGCAGCCCAGTTTGAAAAAGACAAATGCACCCCTATATTTATCACCGCACTATTTACAATAGCCAAGAAACGCAAGCAAACTAAGTGTCCATCAGTAGATGAATGGATAAAGAAGATGTGGTGCATATACACAGTGGAATGTTATCCAGCTGTAAGAAGAAAATAAATCCTACCATTTGCAACAACATGGATGGAGCTAGAGGGTATTATGCTCAGTGAAATAAGCCAGGTATTATGCTCAGTGAAATAAGCCAGGTGGAGAAAGACAAGTCTCAAATGATTTCACTCATCTGTGGAGTATAAGAACAAAGAAAAAACTGAAGAAGCAAAACAGCGGCAGACTCACAGAACCCAAGAATGGACTAACAGTTACCAAAGGGAAAGGGACTGAGGAGGATGGGAGGGAAGGGAGGGATAAGGGATGGGGGCAGGAAAGAGGGCATTATGATTAGCATGTATAATGTAGGGAGTCACAGGAGGGCTACACAACACAGAGAAGACAAGTAGTGATTCTACAGCATCTTACTACGCTGATGGACAGTGACTGTAATGGGGTATGTGGGGGGGACTTGGTGATGGGGGGAGTCTAGTAAACATAATGTTCCTCATGTAATTGTAGATTAATGATACCAAAATAAAAAAAAGAGATACTTGTTGCATTCCCATACACTAACGATGAACTAGCAGAAAGAGAAATCAGGAAAACAATTCCATTCACAACTGCATCAAAAAGAATAAAATACCTAGGAATAAACCTAACCAAGGAAGTGAAAGGCCTATACCCTGAAAACTACAAGACACTTCTAAGAGAAATTAAAGAAGAAACCAATAAATGGAAACACATCCCATGCTCATGGATAGGAAGAATTAATATTGTCAAAATGGCCATCCTGCCCAAAGCAATCTACAGATCCAATGCAGTCCCTATCAAATTACCAACAGCATTATTCAACAAACTAAAGCAAATAGTTCTAAAATTCATATGGAACCACAAAAGACCTCAAATAGCCAAAGCAATCCTGAGAAGGAAGAATAAAGCAGGGAGGATTATGCTCCGCAACTTCAAGCTCTACTACAATGCCACAGTAATCAAGACAATTTGGTACTGGCACAGGAACGGACCCATAGATCAATGGAACAGACTAGAGAGCCCAAATATAAACCCAAGCATATATAGTCAATTAAAATACAATAAAGGAGGCATGGATATACAATGGGGAAATGACACCCTCTTCCACAACTGGTGTTGGCAAAACTGGACAGCTACATGTAAGAGAATGAAACTGAATTATTGTCCAACCCCATACACAAAAGTAAACTCGAAATGAATCAAAGACCTGAATGTAAGTCATGAAACCATAAAACTCTTAGAAGAAAACATAGGCAAAAATCTCTTGAATATAAACATGAGCAACTTTTTCCTGAACTCATCTCCTTGGGCAAGGGAAACAAAATCAAAAAAGAACAAATGGGACAACATCATGCTAAAAAGCTTCTGTACAGCAAAGGACACCATCAACAGAACAAATAGGCATCCTACAGTATGGGAGAATATATTTGTAAATGACATATCCAACAAGGGGTTAACATCCAAGGTATATAAAGAACTCACAAGCAAATAACCCCATTAAAAAATGGGCAGAGCATATGAATAGACACTTCTCCAAAGAAGAAATTGAGATGGCCAACAGGCATATGAAAAGATGCTCCACATCGCTAATCATCAGGGAAATGCAAATTAAAACCACAATGAGATATCACCTCACACCAGTTAGGGTGGCCAACATAGAAAAGATTAGGAACAACAAATGCTGGCGAGGATGTGGAGAAAGGGGAACCCTCCTACACTGCTGGTGGGAGTGTAAACTAGTCCAACCATTGTGGAAAGCAATATGCAGGTTCCTCAAAAAACTAAAAACAGAAATACCATTTGACCCAGGAACTCCACTTCTAGGAATTTACCCAAAGAAAACAACTTCTCAGATTCCAAAAGACATATGCACCCCTATGTTTATCACAGCACTATTTACAATAGCCAAGATATGGAAACAACCTAAGGGTCCATTAGTAGATGAATGGATAAAGAAGATGTGGTACATAAACACAATGGAATACTATATTCAGCCATAAGAAACAAATCCTACCATTTGCAACAACATGGATGGAGCTAGAAGGTATTATTCTCAGTGAAATAAGTCAGGCAGAGAAAGACAAATACCAAATGATTTCCCTCAATTGTGGAGTATAACAATGAAGCAAAACTGAAGGAACAAAATAGCAGCAGACTCAGAGACTCCAAGAAGGGACAAGTGGTTACCAAAGGAGAGGGGTGGGGGAGGGCATGTGGGGAGGGAGGGAGAAGAGGGTTGTGGGGTATCATGATTGGTGCACATGGTGTGTGTGTGGTCATGGGGAAGACAGTGTAGCTCAGAGAAGACAAACAGGGACTCAGTGGCATCTTACTACACTGATGGACAGTGACTGCAATGGGGTGTAGGTGGGGACTCGATAATAAGGGTGAATGTAAAAACCACATTGTTTTTCTTGTGAAACCTTCATAAGAGTGTGTATCAATGACACCTCAATAAAATAAAATAAAATAAAAATAAAAGCATATATAAAACAAAGGCTGTATTTACAATATATAAAGAACTCTGACAACTCAAGAATAACCCATTAAAAAAAATCAGCTGAATATTTGTCCATTTCACAAAAGAAGATATGTGAATTGCCAAGAAGCACATGAAAAGATACTCAACATGAAACCACAGTAAGATTATTACTAAACATCTATTACACTGGGTTAAATTTAAAAGACTGGTAGCGTTACGTGTTGGAGAAGATGTGGAACAAACAACTCTTATACATGGACAGTGGGAAAGTAAATGTTATGACTTTGGGAAAGAGTTTGACAATTTTTTAAACAGTTAAACATATACCTAGCAGATGGTCCATTCCTCTCCCAGAGTAATACGAGAGAAATGAAGGTGTATGTCCACACAAAAAAGCAGTGCATCAATGTTCATAGCAAGTTAATTTGTTAACAGCAAAAAACTGGAAACATCCCGAATGACCAACAAGTGAATGAATAAACAAATTGTGGTATATCCATAATAATGGAATACTACTCAGCAATAAAAAGGGATGAACATACATACACATAACATGGACCAATCTCAAAATAGTAATGCTGAGTGAAAGAAGCCAGAGACCTCTCCCTGCAAAAGGGTGCATACTCTGTTTCCACTTGCTTAAAAAATTACAGAAAATGCAAACTTATCTATAGTGACAGAAAGCAGATCAGTGGTTGCCTGAGGAGGAAGGAAACAAAGGGGCAGAAGGAAACTTTGAAAGGTGACTGTTAACGTTTATTCTCTTGATTGTGGTGATGGCTCCACGGGTGTTTCATAGGTATGTAGTCAAAATTCATCAAACTAGACACTTCAAAGTTTGTTGGGTGTCAAACTCAATAAAGATGAAAGAATCCACAATAAGTCTTTAAAAAAGAAAAACCTCCAGTCTTTGCCGTTTCACCACCGGGAACCCTCCTCTTTAGCCCTCCTCCATCTCAAAGCTGACGCTTATCCCTTCCCCTTTCGAGAACCCCAAAAGATTCACAAACTTCGAACTACGCTTCCAAGTATTGCCCACTGTATTTTTGGGTGCTCAGCTTCTGCACAAAAACCTCCTGCCTATCTTCCCATCAGCAGTGGTGCCCCCCCACCCCGCCCCGACCCACCCCCTGCAGTCCACGTTCCCACTCAACTCATCCACAAAGCGTCATCGGACCCTGCCGGTCTCCGATCCTGAGATACACGGCCAGGCACGGAACCACCGAACGCTGCTCCCCTCGGACGGCCCACCCCCGGGCCGGCCGCTGCGTGGGACTCGACACCACCCCGCGCCCAGGTTACCTGCCACCGGCTGGCCGCGCCGCGGGCAGTTCAGCCACCGCGGCGGGATCTTGTTGTGAGCCATGTCTTGGGGCCGCGCAGAGCCGCCCCTCTACCCAGGCTTGCGGCGCCACCGCCGCCACCTCTTCGCGATCCGCTCGGCCTCGCAGGTCCCAGGCTTTCGAATCTCCGCCGCTGTTGCCCAGTAACGTCAGGGGCTGCGCGCCACTTTCATTCAGGACCAAGTCCCCTGCTGTCCGCGAGCCCACAATGCACTGCCACTTCCGCCCCCAGAGGCCCCGCCCCCTCCTTTCTGAGGTCAGAGGGGAAGAGAGAGCTCGGCGGAGGCGTCGGGAGTTACGGCCACGGCGACGGGAAGGCCGGTCTCCCCTCGCCCCGCCCCGCCCCGCCGAGATCCCGGCGCGCTCTTCGGACAGCTCTGCCCATGCGCAGTCACCCTGCGGGCCCGGCGGACCCCAACTTAGTTCTTCTCCCGTGTAGGCAGCAGGTGGGAGCCCCAGATTAAAGGCAGCCAAGCATTGCACGCGTGGACTGGCACGCAGCTTTCAGAAAGGCATCTTCATTTCTGATAAAAGGGGCCTTCTCACCGCTATCACAACTCAAGGAGCCTGATCGCTCTGCTGCGGCCAAACCTGGCGTCCCAGCAGGACCTGGGTTTGCTTTGGAATTTGGAAAGTTCACCCTGACGTGGATCAAGGGAACAAGCTTTGGAGAAATCTAAGGGCAAGAGATTGGAGTACCAGAAATGAGGAATTTTCTCTTTGGGGGAGCACGTCTAAGGATCCATGAAGTACCTATAATTAACCCCAAAATATTTTTTAAGAATTTTGTTTGTACGTATCTGTACAGTTTCAAACCCTACTTGGGAGTCTCGGAGGGTCAGCGTCTCAAGGTCGCTAACTGATGAGTGTAATTGGCAAAGGCAGGAATAGCCTGATGAGAGCACCACTACCTGGGCAGGGTCTCCTTTGCCTTACCAAAAAAAAAAAAAATGGTCTTTCCCTGCCGGTGAGGCTGGGATGGTTTGGAAACATTTTGTAAACTCGGTCCCTGTAATAAGACTTTCTGTAGTTGTCAGATGAAAGTATTAAGTATAAAGCGAAATGATGGCAAATGAAGTATAATATAGCAGCTTGATTTTAAGCACCATTGCTATTTTTGAACTGTCAGCGTGTAAAGTTTGAGGGGATATATTTTAAAGGGTCAATGGGAACTTGTGAAGTAGCTCGGCCTCTGAATGCCTGAACCTTCTCAGTAAGAGTCAGAATTCTGCCATAAATAGAAAGGGTGCAAGGCTATCTGAGAGGGCCTGAGTTAGGTCACACTCCTGGTCTGTCTACTGAAACGTGTTACTGAAAGTGTCACTCCATGTGTGAGACACAAGATAAGACTGCTTACAAACCAGCAGTCTGCCTGAATGACGCCCAGTTCTCTTCTGGGCTGGCAGGGTAGATTTCATACCATGCCCAAAGTGGCAACATGTTTGATTGCCCAAATTTCCTCCAAGGATGGAAAAGGTGAGCCTGGTCCTAGGAGAATGTTTAGCTTTTCCCTTCTGGGGATCACACCCCTTGACAGTGTCCTCTCATAACCTGGGAGCTCAGTCCTAGACATAGGGGCAGCTTCCCGGAGGCTTCACACTGTAGGTGGATAGCCAGACATGAGCCCAAGGGGATTGGGGACTTGGGCCAGTATTAGATGCTTGTTTATATTCTAAACTTTCCCTGTCATCTGTTCTCACTGGATATAGGGAGAGGTATAGATGCCAGACCTGCTACTGGTTCCAGAATGGAGAAGTTGACCCTGACTTTACCCCAAAGTACATTACACTCATTAGGGTACTAAAAATCACACCCCTTGGCACCAGGACAGTTCTGAGGAAGACTATCTAAGGACAAAAAGGCAGCATAACCCTATTTCCCAGAAATCCCCTCCTAATTCCAAGAAAACCCCACTAGCTGGAAGAATATTCCACCTCTGCTTAAACTACAGCTCTAAGACCATGCAACCAGAACCCCACCATGAGTGCTCACCTCCAGAGCGTGGCCGCACTCCCTCCCAGAGGGTGTACTCTGCTTTATTAAACTACTCTTTGCTTGTACCTGCTTGACTTGCTCGGGGAAGTGAATTCTTTCTCAATCAGAATCAAGAACCCTCCCTCAGGTTGAGGTCTCGCCTCGCACGCAGGGAGATCTCCCTGGACTGGATTGCCCAACAGCAATACCACCAATGAGCTGCTGTTAGTAGCACTTATTTTTCCGCCACTAACCAGTAATGCCCTCCCCATCCTTGTGCCCACAGATTGAGAGGACCTGTGCCTCCCCACTTCCCACAGCCAGAGGACAGGGTAGGAGTAAGCAAGCAGTTTCTCCGTCCCAACGGGAATCCTTCCCCTGATGGGTTATTTCTGCCTGTATCATTCCTAGGTCTACATCTCTGCTATTCTGCAAGAGAAAAAAAAAATAAGTGCCTCCAGAAGGGCCAACATGATCCCTCCCTGGCTTCCTGGAACCCCAAAACCCCCCCACACTCACCACAAATATGGCTTGGCTAACTCCTTGGTTCTTCATGGCTGAATTCTTCCATCGAACATTCGTTTTGCACATAAGGAAGGATGTGTAAGGGTAAATAAAGAAAGATTGAATTTTCCCTGTGGGACAAAAAAGAAAGAGACCCTTTTCCCTTTCCTAAAACATTTCCTTGAGAAAATTTGTAAATCCTTCAAATAAATGTGTATAACCTTTGTAACAACTAAATAAGCCTCTTGCCTACCTTACAACACAAAAAGGTTTTTCTTAAGAGTCTGGGAGCTGTCTCTTTGTAACATGAAGGAAGGTGGTGGCCCTGTCTCCCAGTCACATGAGAATTTAGTGTAAGATGCCTCGTTTCCAAGCTGTAACTACCTGAAGTCAGAGAGTTAGAGAAAGTTTTGTTTTTCTTTCAGATACTAGCTGTAAACTGACACCAGTGGCCTCACCAGTTACCCATGAATTTAGGATGAACTATGAAAGAATGTATAATAAATGGTACTGCCATGTCCTCTTACCTGCAAGCCAGTTATTTACTATTTATCTTGGGAACATGTATGTAATGGATTATATGAGATTTCTCTCCTTCTCTGCAATCTAATTCGAGGATTGCCTGTGAGGCTCATCACAGTCTTTAATGAATTCAAAAATCGCGTGAATCCGTGCACATTCAATAATGAAACTGTTTTTCTCTTTTCTACATTTGCATTGTTGGGGAGGAAAAATTTTCTCCTACTCCTCAAGGTTCTTCCAGTTAGTCTAAGAATCGGATTGCATGAAGCAGTTTAACAGGAAAAATCACAAATTTAATGAGACTCCAAAAACAGACAAAATGAGGCACACATGTCATCCTGAGCCAAGGAGAAGGGGGTAGGCAGCCAGAGCTTCAAAAGGAAAAGGAAGCACTTCCCAGGAATAGGAAAGAGCAAATGTTTGGCAAGCCAATGGTTGCAGGGCTGCACGGAAATAATAGGACATGAAGAGGACTTGAACAGACTTTGTTAAAGTCCTCCTTGTCTACCACTCCTAGTTCATAAGGTACTACAACTCCCTAAGGCGATACAGCCCTCTTCCTGGAGCAAGTCCTGTATAAGATCCCTTTTATGCAGTTAGGTGAAAGGTCCACGTTACTGATTGGGCCTTGATTGTCTTTAGCTCCCTAAACCTAGCCCTCCCAATAAACATAATATGCATGCCCGAGTGACATATCTTGGGGCTGCGACAGTTGAGAGGATTTTCTGGGTTGGCAGATTTTATTCCAAAATTTTTCCCCTAACAAGTGTTTATGCCTCACTGAACTATTAAAGCCTATTGCAGAAATAGCACCTCTTAAGACTAAACAAAGCTCCTTCATGCCTTGGGAGTTAGTGTCCTCCATGCATCTCTAGCAATGGTGGGTAGAGGGCTGAATCTGTTTATTCTGACAGCCAGCAATCCAGCATGTGAGGAAGGATGCTGCCATCTGGCTTTCCAAAAGGTGGCAAAATGTTAGCCAGGGCCATTCACTTTTTTGATCAGTCCACATGTTCCCTAGCTGGCAGGGACTACGCTGGTGCCACCTGTGCCCAGATCCCTTTCTCATTCTGGCGGCCCAGCACCTCCACCTCCTTCCTGTACTCTACCAACTTCGGCAGGTGAAGAAGTTCAGAGGTCACACTGGTTAAGCTTGGAGCAGAGGAGGAACACTGGAATCACATCCCACATGGAGGTCTGGGATCTAAACTCTGGCTATGGGGCAAAGGAAGATAAATTACAAATTACCCTCCATTGCTGTTTCTCTTTGAGCACCAAACAAAGCCACTGACTGGCATTTTGGATCATGTTTGTACCAAAACACAGGACTCTCTCTATATGAGAACATTTTCACAGACCCGTGCTGAGCTCCTTGAGGATAACAAACCCTGAAAACACTGAAGGGAAAAAAAAGACAAACAGCAATCTTTGAACAGCCAAATCATACTTTTCACAGCCAGATGCTCTTTTCCAAGAGGCCTCAGCTTCACATGTACCCCCAGAACACAGGTTCAGGGAGCAGAACAACAAGTAGCCTGGGTCTCTTGTATGCCGGTACAGGTAAACTCACGTGAGTGCACTGTGGGTGCTCTGTGACCTCACTGTCAGCATATCAAACCGGCCAACAGCTGTTCTAATGTAAACCAAAGAGGATTTACTGTGCGGCTCTCTGCACAAGCTCCTTACAAGGCCTAATTAGATATTTGTAGTTTTGTTTTCTTAACTTTAATAGAGGGCCCCCACGTTATATACTTTCAGGCCTGTTTGGGTTTGTGTCCCACAAAAAAGATATGTTGGAGTCCTAACCTTTAGTATCTCAGAATGTGACCTTATTTGGAAATAGGGTCCTTACAGAGTAATCAAGTGAACAGTCAGTCATGAGGGTAGGCCCTAATTCAATATATCTGGTGTCTTATGACAAGGGGAAATGTGAACATAGAGACAGCGTGCACAGAGGGATGACGATGTGGAGGCGCAGGGAGAAGATGGCACTGTAGTGATGCATCTACAAACCATGGAACTTCCAGCAGACACCAGAAGCTAGAAGAAGAAGGGAAAGAGTCTCTTCAAGAGTCATCAGAGAGGGCATGGCGGCCCTGCTTGCAGCTTGATTTCAGACTTCTACCTCCAAAGCTGTGAGAGAAATTTATTGTTTTGAGCCCTTCAGTTTTGCGTACTTTTTAAAAACAGCTCTAGGAAACTAATACAAAAGGCCGCACAAAACCTGGTCTGCCCTTGCTCCAAC